TTTACTCCACGTTCTCACTAAAATTCACTCCTGATAGATTTTCGAAAACTACTCTTTGAGGCTGTTCTGACTCCCTGAACGAGAATTTAGCATTCCCTCGGAGTGAAAGCCTCCGGCGGTCGCAACAGATGTACAGCGTCTGCGCCCGTGGCACACGCAGCAACTGTGTTCGCGCTAAGCAATTGCGACATTTGTGTCCAGGGGGTCGAATTACGCCTTGCAGCAAGTTTGCTGCACATTTGGCCTTCTTGAATTTCTTGGTGAGGGTGCTGTTCGGAATGGTGACAAGTGGATGCGATATTCGAGGCGGTCAAATTACCCTGGGGGCTGAGCCTCCAGTCATCTCCATTCCAATGGAAAATTTCGATCAAATTTCGGTCCAGTTTTCGAAGAGTGGGGCGGTATGTTTTGATAGTGACCTAGCTTTAGACTGGCAAGCACGTTTAGATCTTCTTAGCATTTCAATATCACCCTGACTAAAATCACCGCGTCTCGTACTTCTACCACTGATCGCTAGTGGAGGGTTTTTGGGAAGTGGCAAAACGGGAGCACAGGCCATATTGCGATGCACCTGATAACTGATTCTAAAGCCCGCAGTCAAAGTGGTGATATTAAATGCTGCATTATTCGCTCATCAGACACCGTTTAATGAGTAGCAAGTAGCCCTGTGACTAGTTTCTATTAAGGCATCTGCGGTTCTTTGTGACGACCATATCATGCTGAATATCAAACCAGGACAACACGGCTCCACATACGGAGGAAACCCGGTGGCTTGTCGAGCAGCTATTGAAGCCCTCAAGGTGCGGCCATATCCCCTTATTTCTGTCCTCTTCGCTTTAGTTTGACTGAAAAGAGAAGTTTCTACTCGTTTCAGGTGATTGACGATGAGGGACTTGTTGAGAACTCGGCAAAAATGGGCGAATTGTTCATGTCGAAGCTGCGGACGCTCCCAAAGGAAATCGTGAAAACTGTTCGTGGACGAGGATTGTTCATTGCGATCGTCATTAGCGAAAGTGAATTCGTTAATTCACTAGTCGAAGACTGAAGAGTCTATGTAAACTGCGGAGCATTCCAGAATATGATGCCTGGACGGTATGCAACCGATTGCTGGCCAACGGAGTCTTGTCAAAGAACACCCATGGGGATGTCATACGGTTCACCCCACCGCTTTGTATCAACAAGGGACAAGTCAGTTAACCCGCGCAACATTAGCTCGATAAGCTTCACCTAGCCTCACCTCCTTATTTTCAGATCGAAGAAGTTTTCGATATCATTTCGAAGACAATTCAACAAGTCGCCGCTGAGCACAAGTAGATCTCTCGCTCTTCGCATTCAAATCTGATCCAAATCGACAAACAAAAAGTGTATTTGTTAAGAATTTCACTTAAACTACTTTCTTAAACTCTCATCTTTCCGTTACATATCCAGATTCCATCTATCTGTCAGGGAATCGAAACAGTGCTCCATTCATTTCATACTCAATTCTTAACAGTTGGTCCAACTCTGTGATGATTAATTAGATTTTTCATGATAGGATTTGCCATATTTGTTTATTCCATTAAACGGTTCTATAATCACTTTGGTCGAGATTGATGGTTTTAATAAAAACGAGATTATGTATTGCTTTCTCGAAACCTGCAAAAAGGTTCTTGTATATTACCATAGCTCTTTTCCCGTCTTACTAGTCCTACACCACGAAGTTATAAGTGGTCAGGAGTCCTTTGGTAACTCAGCTTTCCCTAAGGTCCATATCAACTGCTAAGAATCTATTGCAGGCAGGGTTCTCAGCACTATCGAGACGAGCATTATATGAGAAATAGATTATTTGTTTTCATATTAGGTCGAGATTGATGGTTTTAATAAAAACGGCGTTCAGACTTCGCGATGATGTGCAGCCCCTATGCTGCAGACGGGAATCGATCGGCGCTGGCTGCTTGTGTTTTGAGAGAGTATAGGTACTGCTTACACACCATCTAGTACCCTCCTATTCCTCTGTACTCTATCAAAACACTAGAGGCCAATGGCGATCGATACCAGACTGCCTGATTAGGCGAGGAATACTCTCCTGTTTCCCCAACTCTCTCAGAACACAAGCGGCTGGCGCCGATCAATTCCCGTCTGTGACTGCGTCCAAGTCTATAGCACTGGAGCGCTGCGCAATTGCAGCGTGTCATCGCGAAGTCTGAACGCTGCGTGGCATTTTCGATGGCTTATATTGTAACAGTGATTCATTTCAAATTTTCACTTGATGAATTATTAGAGGAGAGCCTTTTTCGAGAGAGTGGCCCAGTTCCTGTCCCACACACCCTCTGTACTGAAACTTAGCGTGATGCTTTATCCTCCCTTTCTCTCCTTCCACTATCCTTAATCTCGAACTTTTCCAGACAAAAGCGTACACTTCACATCCGAGTGACGGAGTGGGCGTGGCTGTGTACTCTACTTGAACGTAACTTAGGATGCGTTGTTCATGGGATATTCCCATTTGAAGCAAGTGTTATCTTATGTATCTTGTA